GCCCACAATAGTAGATATGATAATCATGTCACTTGAATTCGCCCATTCCTGTTCATTTTAGTTCACTCATGCCGAGGATGTCAATGTTTATTCTTGCCATCTCCTGTTTGACCACCTCCAGCTTCCCAAGGTTCATAGATCTTACATTCCAGGTTTCTATGCAGTATTTTTCTTTGCAGCATTGGGCTTTCCTTTCACTTCCAGGCATGTCACAATAGTAGACTCCACTGTGTCCTGTCCGTCTTGGGTGTCCCTGCACGGCATAGCCCATAGCTTCTCTGAGTTACTCAAGCCCCTTTGCCACTACAAGGCAGCAATCCAGCTGACATATTATTAGTATGAAGACTAAGTCTTTTGGTGAAACTAGAATGGGCCATTAATAGTCCTTGCTATGTTTTCATCAGGATGTGGCCAGAAGCCATGGAGACATATTGTTTTTAATTACCACCCTTTAGGCACATTTAAGTGTCAGAGGTAGTTTGTGGAAAATAAAGTGAAGCTTTTATCAAGCTGCATTTTTCAAGCTTTGGAATACACAGGCTTGTGTCCAGTGAGGATTTTCTTGCTGGTGGAAGGAGAAATTAGGTTGCTTCCCTACCCCAATTTCCTTTCTCCTGTGCTGTCCTCATTCTCCATTGCCACCACACCAAGCTCAGTTACCTAGCGGCCCCACCACACACTAGCCGGGCAGCTCGATTCTGGACCAGTTGCAGTCGCCGGACCGTCTTCAAAGGCAGCCCCATGTACATTGCATTGCAATAATCTATACGTTACCAGTGCGTGTGTAACTGTCATGAGACTCCGCTTGTCTAGGTAGGGCCGTAGCTGGTATAATTTCCACAGCTGAAGGAAGGCGCCTCTGGCCACCGAGTCCACCTGGGCTTCCAGAGTTAGACTGGGGTCCAGGAGCACCCCCAAGCTGCAGACCCTGTCCCTTAGGGGGAATGTAACCCCATTCAGGGCAGGGAAATGGCCCTCCAACCTGTCTGGCGAAGCACCCACTAACAGCACTTCCGTCTTGTCTGGATTGAGTTTCAATTTATTAACCCTCATCCAGTCCATTATCAGGTCCAGACACGAGTTCAGCACAGAAACTGCCTCACCTGGATTGGTGGAAAACGAGAGGTAGAGCTGAGTATCGTCAGCATATTGCTGAATCCTCAGCCCAAACCTCCTGATAACCTCCCCCAGCGGTTTCATGTAGATGTTAAACAGCATGGGGGACAGTATTGACAGTGTCCAGAGGGTGGTGCTGGGGGACAGTTGCTCTGCACCATGGCATTTATGTCCAGCAGGTCCCTGGCACAAGCTTCTGGCTTTTACAGCCTCCCTCCCCTCCAAGCCAGGTGGCTGGTGTTGAAGAAGGGGTGGGGCAGCCCGAAGCAGCAGCAGGGGCCTAGTCCTGCAGGCCAAGGGAGTCCAGGTCAGAAATTCCCCCAGGACACTGTCTCTCATCCAGTGCCTGAGGGACGGCAGGTATCAGAGGCGACTCTCCCGAAGGCAGTAACGCTCATGAAAGGATCTGATGATGTTAAGGAGTTGAGGTGGACATCCAATCTTGGGAAGTATTTTAAGCAAGGCCATCCCTGCTAACCAAATCAAAGGCTTTTGTGAGATCTATGAAGGCCACAAAGAGTGGCTGTTCCCTGCATTTCTCCTGCAACTGTCTGAGGGGGAATACCATGTCAGTGGTGGATCTATTCGTTTGAAATCCGCACTGATTCTGGATAGACTCTGTCTGCAAGCACCTGGAGTCTCTTCAGCACAACATGGGCAAGCAGCTTCCCTACAACACTAAGAAGAGAGATGCCACGGTAGTTATTGCAGTCGCCCCTGTCTCCTTTGTTCTTATACAATGTGACAATGTTTGCTTTGTTTTTGAATTCTTGTTGTGCTCTGTAAAACATTTTGTGAGTCTCTTTGTATTGTACTTTTTTAACGTGGACTCCAGTTCGATATTATATTTTGATTTCTAGGTTTTATGGTTTCAATTTTTGTTGTTGTGCTCTTACTGTAAACTTTGTGTGTGTGTGTGTGTGTGTGTAGTTGCCCTGATTTTTGTTGCTTTTCTTTGTAAAAATCTTTGTGTCTTTTTAACACTTTTTTATAGTGCGCATGAATATATTTTCCTCGAATCTTAATTTAACTTCAGAGTTTTTAAAGTACAAAGTCAACAGTATTTTGCCCCCAAATAAGGGGATAAGTGGGAATCTAGGGTTAGAAGCTTTGTCCATTTCTGCACCTTCTGGTTTTCAGCCTATGGTTCAAAGGCTGGTGAAACTGGGAACTCATGTTGGCCCCTTCCCCTAGTGGAATAGCATCTTTAACATGATGGGAGTGGTGGAATCATTTTAGCATTTAATCTTGTTTTGTTTTAGGTTTTTTTCTGAAGTTTTTAGAACTTGCCACAGTTTCCGTCCGAAGTGGCACATGGAAGAGGCTGTAATTGCATTTTGGGAGGGTGTTGTTCTTAAGGTTAATGAACACAGTGGAAACTTTCCCTTTGTGTTATTTTGCTTACCCAGACAGAGTAACAAAGATGATTAGGAATGAGGAGGATGTTCCTGACATCCCCCGTCATGCAACTACGAGTCCCCTAGCCATGATGTCGAATGATAGAATCATTTGACTTTGAAGGAGGCTATCAGTCTATCAAGTCCCATCCCCTGCTCAATGCTATCATGTCCAGAAAGGAGAGAGGGGCCCAAATTAATTCCAACTGCCAACAAAATTCATAACCTCTTCATACGCCCTAGGTTGGCCGAGCCACTGACAATTTGTCATGAACTACCAAGGTCCTTCTCTGTTGGTGATCTAGTCTGCAAAATGGCTCTGCCCTTCCCTGCCTCCTCCAGCAGCTGACCACTCTGATGAGGAAACGAGACAAGGATTCTCCCCACTAAGCAAATGATTGACTGACTGCAGGAAGAGGCAAGGAAGGGCCAGCAGAGCTCCGTTCTGGATTGGCGCACTACAGAAGAAGAAGGACCCAATGTGTGGGAGAGTTTGTTTATGTGCTGCACCTATAATTCTCTGCACACATTAATTTTGTCGGGTGGGTCCCAAATTAATTCCGGCCCCTCTAAGAAAGAGTTCTATTATGTCTCACCCCTGAGGCTTCTTTTCTCAAAGCTAAATACGCCGATTTCTTTCCTTCTTTCTATGTTGGCTTTTAGTTCTCACTGCATTGTTTTCCAGTTGCTTGCAGAGTGTCTGCTTTGTAATCTCTAGAATTTTCCCTAAGATGGATGTCAAGCTGAGAGGTCTGCAGGTCCCTGGTTCCTTTTTTCATCTCTTTTTCTCTCTCCAACAGGTGATGAAGAGGACAAATAGCGAAAAAGTGAAGAAAGGAAGCCAGACAACAAGAGGGAAAAGAAATCTCCAGCAGCTGCTATTGATGTTGATGCACTTCTGATCATCTGAAAAAATCAACAGGGGAAAAAGAGAGACAAAATGTTCCCTGGGCAGAAAAACATTCAAGGGAACCTCATATAACAATAGACCTGACAAAGTCCACCCAGAGGATAAAGAAAGCCAATGCATTGAACAAGGAAAGAGCATCATGATGCACAGCGATTGTACTTCACATGAAACATCCCTGAGAGGTGAGAGAAAGTACAAAGGCCTGCAGTGTGGAAAGAGCTTCAGTCAGAGCAGTAACATGAGTTCCCATCAAAGAACTCACACTGGGGAGAAACCATATAAATGCATGGAATGTGGAAAGAGCTTCAAAAAGAGCAGTAACCTGAATTCCCATCAAAGAATTCACACTGGGGAGAAACCATATAAATGCATGGAATGTGGAAAGAGCTTCAAAAAGAGCAGTAACCTGAATTCCCATCAAAGAATTCACACTGGGGAGAAACCATATAAATGCATGGAATGTGGAAAGAGCTTCAAAAAGAGCAGTAACCTGAATTCCCATCAAAGAATTCACACTGGGGAGAAACCATATAAATGCATGGAATGTGGAAAGAGCTTCAAAAAGAGCAGTAACCTGAATTCCCATCAAAGAATTCACACTGGGGAGAAACCATATAAATGCATGGAATGTGGAAAGAGCTTCAAAAAGAGCAGTAACCTGAATTCCCATCAAAGAATTCACACTGGGGAGAAACCATATAAATGCATGGAATGTGGAAAGAGCTTCAAAAAGAGCAGTAACCTGAATTCCCATCAAAGAATTCACACTGGGGAGAAACCATATAAATGCATGGAATGTGGAAAGAGCTTCAAAAAGAGCAGTAACCTGAATTCCCATCAAAGAATTCACACTGGGGAGAAACCATATAAATGCATGGAATGTGGAAAGAGCTTCAAAAAGAGCAGTAACCTGAATTCCCATCAAAGAATTCACACTGGGGAGAAACCATATAAATGCATGGAATGTGGAAAGAGCTTCAAAAAGAGCAGTAACCTGAATTCCCATCAAAGCTTTCACTGACAGCAGTTCCCTCAGTTCCCATCAAAGAACTCACACTGGGGAGAAACCATATAAATGCATGGAATGTGGTAAGACTTTCACTAAGAGCAGTAATCTCAGTTCCCATCAAAGAACTCACACTGGGGAGAAACCATATAAATGCATGGAATGTGGAAAGAGCTTCAGTTACAGTAATAGCCTCAGTTTCCATCAGCTAACTCACACTGGAGAGAAACCGTATAAGTGCTTGGAATGTGGAAAGAGCTTCAGTCGTAGCAGTTACCTGAGTTGCCATCAAAGAATTCATACTGGGGAGAAACCATATAAATGCTTGGAATGTGGAAACAGCTTCAGTCGTAGCAGTTACCTGAGTTCCCATCAACAAACTCATACTGGGCAGAAACCATATAAATGCATGGAATGTGGAAAGAGTTTCAAGCAGAACAGTTCCCTCAGTTCCCATCAAAGAACTCACACTGGGGAGAAACCATATAAATGCATGGAATGTGGAAAGAGCTTCAGTCAGAGCAGTCAACTGAGTTTACATCAAAGAACTCACACTGGGGAGAAACCGTATAAATGCATGGAATGTGGAAAGAGCTTCAGTCAAAGCGGTGACCTGAGGTCCCATCAAAGAACTCACATTGGGGAGAAACCATATAAATGCATGGAATGTGGAAAGAACTTCACTCAGAAATGTCATCTGAGTTCCCATCAAAGAACTCACAGTGGGGAGAAACCATATAAATGCATGGAATGTGGAAAGAGCTTCAGTCAAAGTACTCACCTGATTACACATCAAAGAACTCACAGTGGGGAGAAACCATATAAATGTATGGAATATGGGAAGAGTTTCACTGACAGCAGTGCCCTGAGTTCCCATCAAAGAACCCACAGTGAGCCTAAAATGCACTGGCCTTTTTTGCAGCAACATGAAACTGTTGGCTCTTATTTAGCTTCCGATGCACGACAATTCCCAGATCCTTCTCGTTCATTGTTTTGCTGAGCCATGTATTCCCCATCTTGTAACTGCAATTGGTTTCTTTTTCTGATGTGCAGTACTTTGCTCTTCTCCTCTTCAAATTTCATTCTATTGCTTTCATCCGAGGGCTCCAGCCTATGAAGCTCATTTTGAATTTTTTTTCTGTCTTCCAGGATAATATTTATGTTAATTTATTTATTTATTTATTTTATGTATATCCCGCCTATCTGGTCAGCTGAGGATAGTAATGACTACTACACCCAATTTTGTGATATTCACAAATTTAATTAGCATTATCTGCATGTTAGATAGTGGAATAGTGACACCAATAAGAGTCACGACACAGCAGTAGTTCCACACAACTTTACTAGAGACAAGAGCAAACACACACACACACATACATATATGTAAAAAAAACCTCTCGTTTAGAGGATTCCACCCCTCCTAATTACTCAGCGTCTGTGCTAATTGGGAGGAGGGAAAGTTATCCAGAAGAGATGATGTAGACTGATCTTTTCCAGTCCTCTGGTCACTGTTGAGTTTTCTAAACTTGTTGGCATATTGAATGTAGCACCTTAACAGCATCATCTTTCAAGATTTTAAATAGTTCAACTGGAATGCCATCACCTCCACTGGCCTTGTTGTTAGACAAGGTTTTTTAAGGCCCACTTTACTTCACTCTCCAGGATGTCTGGCTCAGGGTCAGCAACTACATTGTCTGGGTTGTCCGGGATATCCAAATCTTTCTGATATAATTCCTCTGTGTATTCTTGCCACCTCTTCTTGATGTCTTCTGCTTCTGTTAAGTCCCTACCATTTTTGTGCTTTATCATGTCCATCTTTTCGCAAAATGTTCCTCTAATATCTCCAATTTTCCTGAACAGATCTCTGGTTTTTCCTTTTCTGTTATTTTCCTCTATTTCTTTGCATTGTTCATTTAAGAAGGCCCTCTTGTCTCTCCTTGCTATTGTTTGGAAGTCTGCATTCAATTTACTATAACTTTCCCTATCTCCCTTGCATTTTGCTTCCCTTCTCCTCTTTGCTATTTCTAAGGCCTCGTTGGACAGCCACTTTGCTTTCTTGCATTTCCTTTTCTTTGGGATGTTTTTTGTTGCTGCCTCCTGTACAGTGTTACGAGACTCCATTCATAGTTCTTCAGGCACTCTGTCCACCAAAACTAGTTTCTTAAATCTGTTAGAGGTTTATAAATGGTAATATATATCACATAACTATCTTCTAGGAAAAACAACATATCTTATGGTTAGGCACTGACCAGGTAAGAGAGCAAAACTCAGTTCAGATTTATTTATTTTTAACCCCCTTCCTTCCTTATACAGGCCGAGACGCCGACCAGGTAAGAGATCCAAACCCATTTTGGTTTGTTTTGTCCTTTTTAACCCCCTTCCTTCCTTGTACAGGCCGAGACGCCGACCAGGTAAGAGATCCAAACCCATTTTGGTTTGTTTTGTCCTTTTTAACCCCCTTCCTTCCTTATACAGGCCGAGACGCCGACCAGGTAAGAGATCCAAACCCATTTTGGTTTGTTTTGTCCTTTTTAACCCCCTTCCTTCCTTATACAGGCCGAGACGCCGACCAGGTAAGAGATCCAAACCCATTTTGGTTTGTTTTGTCCTTTTTAACCCCCTTCCTTCCTTATACAGGCCGAGACGCCGACCAGGTAAGAGATCCAAACCCATTTTGGTTTGTTTTGTCCTTTTTAACCCCCTTCCTTCCTTATACAGGCCGAGACGCCGACCAGGTAAGAGATCCAAACCCATTTTGGTTTGTTTTGTCCTTTTTAACCCCCTTCCTTCCTTATACAGGCCGAGACGCCGACCAGGTAAGAGATCCAAACCCATTTTGGTTTGTTTTGTCCTTTTTAACCCCCTTCCTTCCTTATACAGGCCGAGACGCCGACCAGGTAAGAGATCCAAACCCATTTTGGTTTGTTTTGTCCTTTTTAACCCCCTTCCTTCCTTATACAGGCCGAGACGCCGACCAGGTAAGAGATCCAAACCCATTTTGGTTTGTTTTGTCCTTTTTAACCCCCTTCCTTCCTTATACAGGCCGAGACGCCGACCAGGTAAGAGATCCAAACCCATTTTGGTTTGTTTTGTCCTTTTTAACCCCCTTCCTTCCTTATACAGGCCGAGACGCCGACCAGGTAAGAGATCCAAACCCATTTTGGTTTGTTTTGTCCTTTTTAACCCCCTTCCTTCCTTATACAGGCCGAGACGCCGACCAGGTAAGAGATCCAAACCCATTTTGGTTTGTTTTGTCCTTTTTAACCCCCTTCCTTCCTTATACAGGCCGAGACGCCGACCAGGTAAGAGATCCAAACCCATTTTGGTTTGTTTTGTCCTTTTTAACCCCCTTCCTTCCTTATACAGGCCGAGACGCCGACCAGGTAAGAGATCCAAACCCATTTTGGTTTGTTTTGTCCTTTTTAACCCCCTTCCTTCCTTATACAGGCCGAGACGCCGACCAGGTAAGAGATCCAAACCCATTTTGGTTTGTTTTGTCCTTTTTAACCCCCTTCCTTCCTTATACAGGCCGAGACGCCGACCAGGTAAGAGATCCAAACCCATTTTGGTTTGTTTTGTCCTTTTTAACCCCCTTCCTTCCTTATACAGGCCGAGACGCCGACCAGGTAAGAGATCCAAACCCATTTTGGTTTGTTTTGTCCTTTTTAACCCCCTTCCTTCCTTATACAGGCCGAGACGCCGACCAGGTAAGAGATCCAAACCCATTTTGGTTTGTTTTGTCCTTTTTAACCCCCTTCCTTCCTTATACAGGCCGAGACGCCGACCAGGTAAGAGATCCAAACCCATTTTGGTTTGTTTTGTCCTTTTTAACCCCCTTCCTTCCTTATACAGGCCGAGACGCCGACCAGGTAAGAGATCCAAACCCATTTTGGTTTGTTTTGTCCTTTTTAACCCCCTTCCTTCCTTATACAGGCCGAGACGCCGACCAGGTAAGAGATCCAAACCCATTTTGGTTTGTTTTGTCCTTTTTAACCCCCTTCCTTCCTTATACAGGCCGAGACGCCGACCAGGTAAGAGATCCAAACCCATTTTGGTTTGTTTTGTCCTTTTTAACCCCCTTCCTTCCTTATACAGGCCGAGACGCCGACCAGGTAAGAGATCCAAACCCATTTTGGTTTGTTTTGTCCTTTTTAACCCCCTTCCTTCCTTATACAGGCCGAGACGCCGACCAGGTAAGAGATCCAAACCCATTTTGGTTTGTTTTGTCCTTTTTAACCCCCTTCCTTCCTTATACAGGCCGAGACGCCGACCAGGTAAGAGATCCAAACCCATTTTGGTTTGTTTTGTCCTTTTTAACCCCCTTCCTTCCTTATACAGGCCGAGACGCCGACCAGGTAAGAGATCCAAACCCATTTTGGTTTGTTTTGTCCTTTTTAACCCCCTTCCTTCCTTATACAGGCCGAGACGCCGACCAGGTAAGAGATCCAAACCCATTTTGGTTTGTTTTGTCCTTTTTAACCCCCTTCCTTCCTTATACAGGCCGAGACGCCGACCAGGTAAGAGATCCAAACCCATTTTGGTTTGTTTTGTCCTTTTTAACCCCCTTCCTTCCTTATACAGGCCGAGACGCCGACCAGGTAAGAGATCCAAACCCATTTTGGTTTGTTTTGTCCTTTTTAACCCCCTTCCTTCCTTATACAGGCCGAGACGCCGACCAGGTAAGAGATCCAAACCCATTTTGGTTTGTTTTGTCCTTTTTAACCCCCTTCCTTCCTTATACAGGCCGAGACGCCGACCAGGTAAGAGATCCAAACCCATTTTGGTTTGTTTTGTCCTTTTTAACCCCCTTCCTTCCTTATACAGGCCGAGACGCCGACCAGGTAAGAGATCCAAACCCATTTTGGTTTGTTTTGTCCTTTTTAACCCCCTTCCTTCCTTATACAGGCCGAGACGCCGACCAGGTAAGAGATCCAAACCCATTTTGGTTTGTTTTGTCCTTTTTAACCCCCTTCCTTCCTTATACAGGCCGAGACGCCGACCAGGTAAGAGATCCAAACCCATTTTGGTTTGTTTTGTCCTTTTTAACCCCCTTCCTTCCTTATACAGGCCGAGACGCCGACCAGGTAAGAGATCCAAACCCATTTTGGTTTGTTTTGTCCTTTTTAACCCCCTTCCTTCCTTATACAGGCCGAGACGCCGGGTCCCCCGCCCTCTGTGTGGGGGGAGGGAGGCTGCTTTGGGGGGGAAAGAGGAGCCCAGATCCCCCTCCGAGCAAGGCACCCTTGGGGGCGGTGTGGGGGTTGGTCCTGGGTTTTCCTACATGGTGACACTGGCTGCAGGGGGGGGAGCGAGACTGATGGGGTTGCAAGGAGGAAGAGGAAGAGGAAGGGGGACTGCAAAAGTAGGGGGAAGCAAGGGGGTGATAGTGGGGTACCAGAAATGTTTGCAGGTTAGGGGCCTGATCTAGGCTCCTGGGAGAGGAGGGAGGGAGACCAGGACATTTCATATGTGGGGGGGGGGGATGGAGAGGGGGGCGTTTGCCCCCCCAAAAAGAGGGAAGACACAGCCTCCCTTCGGTCAAGGCTGGCCTTTCCCTTCTTCTGCGTCCCCTCCAACAAAGGCACAAACATGCCAAAGCTGGGGGGTCTGATCCCATCCTGTGGGTGGAGAGGCTCAGCGTCCGGTTGGGGGGCCAGGCAGTGTCCAGCCTGGGGGGGAGGAGTTGAGATCATGACAGGACGTATGAGGAACTAGGCAGGCAAGACGTGTCAGAAAAGGCTCTTTGAAACAAGCCTTTTCGTGTTGGGGGGAGAAGTTCTTTCAACCTCCCTCAGGGCCTGCCAGGCTTCAGCGCCTGTGAGAGTTAGTGCATTTTGGGGGTGGGTGGGTAACTGTTTCTGCAAAAATTCCCAAGTGCCAAACAAATCTAAACCCCTCTTAACACCACTGTCTCATCCACGTGTGGAGACCCCTGAGCTCTGCCTGTCTGAAGACACCCAGCTCTACATCTCCTTTTCTCCAACCACAGTGGAGGACGTTCTGTCCCTTCAGTGTTGTCTGGAAGCTGTACTGCAATGGATACAGGAGAATGGACTGAGGCTCAACCCGGACAAGATGGAACCCCTGAGGGTGGTTGGCCCCTCCATCGGTGGTTTGGGAAACTCCCTCTCTTTTGGGGGAGTGACTCTCGCCGCGAAGAGTGAGATTCGCAGTTTGGGGGGTCTATCTGGATCCAGCACTCACCATGGAAACCCAGGTGGTGTCAATGGTCCGCTCTGCCTATTTGCATCTGTGGTGGATTGCCTAGCTGTGTCCTTCTCTTGATGTTGATGTGCTCACCACTCTGGTCCGTGCGCTTGTAGTCTCGAGATTAGACTACTGCGATGCGCTCTCCATGGGGCTACCTTTGAGATTCATGCGGAAGTTTCAAATGGTGCAGAATGCAGCGGTCAGACTTCTGAGTGGGATGATAATATATCAGCATATTCTTCCCACTCTGGCTGCCTTGTATTGGCTGCCCGTTCATTTCCGCATTGATTTCAAAGTGTTAATGATGACATATAAAGTTCTAAATTGTTCATGACCTTGA